ACCCTAGAGCCGGCCAACAACGGAGCAGACGAAGAGAGGACCAATACCAAGCTCCCAGAGAAATCCATCACACAACCGTGGGACACACAGATGCATATGAGCAGGAGAAATACCACACAGTCGTGACCATTGAAGGGGAACCATGCAAAATGGAGCTGGACAAAGGGTCATATTTACAATAGTATCCTGGCAAACAGTCAAGAAGTTGAACCCAGCTGCAAGCAGGAAGTTCCTGAAGCCACCAAATGTCCGCCTGAATGACTATCAAGGGAACTGGATAGAGGTACTAGGCAGAATGGAGGTCAAAGTAACGTTCCACGAGTTCCAGGGCCAGCTGCCGCTCATGGTCGTTGGCAGCCACCGGCCATCACTGCTGGGAGTACAATGGTTTAAACCACTGGGCCTGGACATCACCGGACTGCACAGCGTAACCACTCATGAACTGGACCAGCTGTTGGCAGAGTTCGCAGACGTCTTCGACGAGGGCCTAGGTAAATATACGGGGAAACCCATTTCATTTAACCTAGGCCCCCATGTAACCCCATCAGGGTCAAACCCTGTAGGGTACCATTTGCTTTGCAGCCCAAGGTCGAGGAACAATTAGACAAGCTCATTGCCCAGGGAATCCTCGTGCCAACCGACCACACGGTGTGGGAGACTCCCATAGTCACCCTCGTGAAGCCATATGGGTCCGTCCGCATCTGCGCGGATTACAAGTGTACACTGAACAAGGCCCTCCAGCAGAGTGCGTACCCAGTGCCCATGGTGCAACATCTGTTGCATTCCCTAGGAAGCGGGAAGGTATTCACCAAGCTGGACCTTGCCCAGGCCTATCAGCAGCTGCCAGTAGATGAAGCCACTGCTGAAGCACAAACCATAGTGACTCACAGGGGGGCATTTAAATATACCAGGTTGCAGTTTGGGGTCAGCGTAGCCCCAGGACTTTTCCAGTGCCTAATGGAGTGGCTACTGCACAGGATCCCAGGAGTGGTGCCATACTTCGATGATGTTTTTATATCAGGGGAGTCAATAGGTCAGTTGATGGAACGCGTGCGTGAAACCTTGGGGAGGTTCCAGAAAAAAGGACTCAAAGTGAACCCTAAGAAATGTAAAATTGGTGTAAGGCAGGTAGAGTTCCTGGGTTACCTAATAGATGGGTTGGGCATCCACCCAACTAACAGCAAGATGAAAGCCATTAAGAATGCCCCCACCCCGAAGAATAAGGCAGAATTTCAAGCCTTCTTGGGACTGTTAAACTTTTACAGCACATTTTTACAACAGAAGGCCACCATTGCTGAACCGCTCCACAACCTCCTGGGGAAGACGACACCGTGGACCTGGGAATGGAGGGAAGACCAAGCTTTTGCAGCAGTGAAAGACCTCCTCTCGTCCAACAGCATCCTGATCCAATATAACCACACTTTGCTGGTTCGGATCATCTGTGATGCCTCCCCTTTCGGAGTTGGGGCAGTCCTCAGCCACCACCTACCAGATGGAACGGAAGCACCGATAGCATACTACTCCAAGACCCTATCATTGGCCGAGCACAACTACAGCCAAATTGATAAGGAGACCTTGGCCGTGGTGGCAGGGATCAAGCGGTTCCACGAGTATGTATGCAGTAGGCATTTCAAGATTGTAACTGACCATAAGCCCATATTAGGACTCCTCGCCGGTAATCAACAAACCTCGCCATACATGTCCCCGAGGATGACCAGATGGGCCATTTTCCTCACGGCGTACAACTACGAGCTGATCCACTGCCCTGGCGAAGACATCAGCCACGCCGACACTCTCAGCCGCTGCCCACTGCCAGAATTGGTGGAAGATCCCACACCCACCGCCCAAGTGCTGTTGATCGACATCGACCAGGCCAGCCCAATGACCATCAGAGACATCACTGAATATACCCAAAAAGACAAAATGTTAAGAAAGGTTCTGAACTGAGTGTTGAGGGGGTGGCCATAGGAGAAGCTGGGGGAGGAGTTCAAGAGTTACCACAGCAAGCAAACCGAACTGTCAACCTTTAAGGGCTGTTTGCTGTGGAGAGAAAGGGTTGTCATTCCCCAAAAGCTTTGGAGGTGCACCATGGACGCCCTGCACGTGGGCCACCCTGGGATCGTGAGGATGAAGGCGTTAGCCCGGAGCTACATCTGGGGGCCCCAGATGGACAAGGGCATTTCCGAGTGGGTGGCCACCTGCAAACCCTGCCAGGAGATGTGACCAGCACCAACACAGGCACCCACTCATGAATGGGAAATGGCCAAGGGATCCTGGTCCCGCATACATATTGACTTTGCAGGGCCAGTAAAAGGACAGACGTTCCTGATTGTCGTGGACACATACTCCAAGTGGCTAGAAGTGATCATCATGCAGACAACCAGAAGCCACCATCTGAGCCCTCCGATGGCTGTTCGCCACCCACGGTCTACCCAATGTCTTCGTTTCCGATAACGGCCCAAAACTGACAGCCAAGACCATGGAGGCATTCCTCACAGAGCAAAGGATCCGGCATGTATTCATCTCTCCTTTCCACCCAGCAAGCAATGGGCAGGTCGAGCGAATGGTGAGACTAACCAAGGAAACCCTCACCCAAATGGGCCCAGGGAATTGGCAGGAAAAAGTCGACCAGTTCCTCCTTGCTCAACACATCACTCCCCCCCCCATGCGATCACCAACAAGAGCCCAGTGGAGTTGCTGATGGGAAGAAGGCTGAGGTCGCAACTTGACTGATACCACCCGGACTACCTTCCTGAGACCCCCCTGGACTCTGCACGGCCCACGTGGGCATTCAATGTACAGGACCGGGTATTCACACACAACTATGTAGAGTACCTGACCTGGCTGGTGGGCTGGGTCATGGCTGTCACTGGCCCCAAGTCATACTGCATTGAGCTGGAGGACGGGCAGATCTGGAGGAGGCATCTCAACCAACTCAGACACCGCCTGGGGGACACCGAGCTGAGGAACCAGGGCGACTGGACCGCGACCAGAGGGCCAGAGCAACAATCGCAGAACCTGAGGTCTCTGCCTCGAGGAGCACATTCAACCGCCGGTCGGGAAGCAGACAAGCAGGAACCAGGCCTACCTGGTGGCCCAACAGGGGGACTACTCGCCAACCAGAGCCGTGACCATTTCTTTGGTATCGAGGGTGTCCAGTGGAAAGCGACGGGTTTGGAAGCCGAAGGAACCAGGCAGGAACTCGACTCATGGCCCAAGGAGCTCCAGAAGGTTCCTTCCCAGGCAGCTGGAGGAACACCAGACTCAACCACTGCAGCCAAGATCCCGGGGACAAGTGAACTGCGCAGGTTCAGTAGGAAGCCAGCGCACTCCGCCTACCTAGAGGACTACATCACATACATAGTCAGGGGATCGGACACTGTTCATTCTAGGAGGGGAGGGGTGTTATGTATGGATTGGCTAGAATCTACATAAGGTTTCATGCTCACCGCTGATTGGCTGTTCAGACCGTGGGAGATCTGACCTGCTGTCATTGGCCAGCTGGTCTGCCTGGAGCTCCTTAAAAAGGCGAGCTCCGGCAGCCCAGCCGGCAGAGTGCAGTCACATTTTGCTGGAAATAAAAGGGTTCTGAATTCACTAATGACTCTCACCTGCTGCCTTTGGGCCAATCTAACACAACCAATGGAACAGCTTGCCTTCGGAAGTTGTGGGAGTTTCATCACTTGAGACTTTCAAGAAAAGATTGGACTGCCATTTGTCAGAAATGGCATAGGGTCTCCTGTTTGAGTGGGGCGGTTGGAGTAGATGACCTATAAGATCCCTTCCAACTCTGTTAATCTGTTATCATGGAGCAGTGGTGTTACAGGGGCCATTCTTGGGGGCCCCAAAACTGCCCGCACTGCTGCATTCTGCACCAGCTGTAGCTTATTTGGTAAATGCCTGAATAAAATGACAGCAACCTGTCAAATAAATTTCATCAAAGCAGCAATCTATTTTCTGGGCAATTGGAAAAAGTAAAATCAGATATTTTCAGTTGGACTCTAAAGTAATTTTTTTTTATTTCAATTGTTTCCTTAGATGTTAGTATTAATGTAGAACTGTTTTACCATTTGGTCTTACAATTTTGCTTAGCAGCTTTAAGAGTACTGCTATGAAGTGCTCTATAAAAATGAAATATATGTATGTATATATAAATAGATGTATATGTAAGACAGTGTTTATGAGGATACACTATTAGAATTTGCAATAGTTGTGAATATCTATAGCTCAGGTGTAAGATAAGGGTAAAGGTTAATTCTCCGAGCTTGTGAGTTGGTTTTCGAACATTTCATTACCAGACTAGGTAACATCTTCAGAGGAGTTCCCCTAAACTCTGCTGAAGATGGTACCTAGCCTTACCAGGTAACAAAATGTTCAGAAACCAACTCACAAGCTTGGAGAATGAACCTTCACCCTCATACTGAGGGTGGTGCAGTGGTTAGAGTGCAGTACTGCAGCTACTTCTAGTTCAGCAGATCAGTGGATCAAATCTCACCAGCTCAAGGTTGATTCAGCCTTCTAGCCTTCCGAGGTGGGTAAAATGAGGACCCAGATTGTTGGGGGCAATATGCTATTTAGTATACTGTCTTTGGTGTAAGCCGCCCGGAGTCCTCGGAGAGTGGGCGGCATAGAAATATGACTAATAAAATAAATAAATAAATACTATTAGAATTCAGTTAATTTATCTTTATTTCCATATTTATGAAAAAGTCAGGCCTATAGGACAGAAGACAATTTATTGCTGCCTACTTTTACCAAAGCCTGTTATATCTTTCAAATCATTCTGCTTGTTAGTCGTGTGTGTGAACTGAAATGTCTGTTTTTGTTTAATTTTCATTGAAGCAATAGAGCTTTGTTGGGACATCCTAATTATTAAATACTTGACATTTTTAATTTGAAGCACTAATGGGATGAATTATTGTTAGAGTGGTTTGTGTCCAATGTAGATAACAACTCAGCCACAAGGGATCCAGTTAATAATTGTTTTTTTTTTTAAATAGCATAGGGATGTTTGGATTAAGCACCATCATGAAATAGAAGGCCAAAACTATAAAGTGATGACTCAGCTTCTTTCCAATGATTTTGTTGGCATGTCTTTCAAAGATGTTTGTCGGTAAGATTCCCCACTACCCCTGCTCCCTTAATCTACTTTCTTAATTTTCCACTTTAAATTCCATTTTCTTTGCCACATACACATTTTCAAATTTCCACCTACTGGACAAGTTGTTAATAATTCTTGACATAAGTTTTTTCCACCATCCCAATCAACAAAGGGACAGAATAGAGATATTGCTACATCTAGGGATTAAATTTGAATATGGAAATCCCACAATTTATTCATTTGAGATTCTGGATTGCATATTTTGGATTCCCAGAAGACCTGCTTACTTTGATCTCAATATACCAAGTTCCTGAGATCTGAACATTCATTGGCATGTTAAAGGCATATTTCTGATAAGATTCAAGGCTTATGACTGCCAATATTTGGACTTTACTATAAGACAGAGGAAAAGAAAATCAGTTGGTTATGCTTTCAGGAACCTTCTAAGCTAGAAGACACAGACTCTCCATTGTGCTTAAAGATTCTGCTTCAGACTCATCTTGTATCATATCAGTCATGGCAGTAAAACAATGCAATTCAAATTATTTAAAGTTCCTCCAGAGAGGATGTAGCTGATCACCATATAGATTTTAGCTGGCTACTATATAAGGTTTCAGAGTCAGACTATTGTAAAGATAGGTATTGATTCTAATAGAGGAGAAACTTAGCCAGTAGGACACACATAGAACTATCCAAGGTCCTGCTTTCTGCAATTCATGGAATTCTGCAATTCCATCCAAGGTCCTGCTTTCTGCAATTCCATGCCTTGCCTGAATTGTGGTCATAAGAGAGTTCTGCCTGGATGTTTTCCATCATGCTTGAAAAAGCCAAAAAATAAGACCTCATCCAAATTAAAGATTGTTTATTTTTTTAATAATGAGACAATATTCACAACCTTGCCTCTTTATTTATTTGTTTATCATTTTTCAAACCTGAACTTATCTCTTTGTGTTTAAGACTCTGCTTTCTGAAGCTGGATATCATACTTCTTGCTATTGATTTTCGATCTGCAAAACAAGGAAACAGGTGATGCTTGAACCTCTCTGTGTATCAGGTTAATAACTCCTCCCATTATTTTGTTTGAATGTATTTGTGGTCATATTATGTTGTCTAAAATCTGTTGATAATACGCCAACTTTGCTTAAGTCATGTTTGTTTGTTGCCTGTAGGAATATATAACTGAATGAAAAGTATTTCGGGGGTGACCCCAAAATCTTAGTTCTTATTTGTGAAAATCTAATCTATCATACTGTATCTCATCCATCATAGAGCTGAGATATACCATGATATGGGCTTGGTGTAGGACAATATGTGACAATGTATGGCTGCAGAAGAAAAAATACATTCTGCTGAAATAGCCTTTATTGCAGGGGTATAAAGGTAACTCAGAGACTTTGGAGATTATCTAGCATCTAAATTGTTTTCTTCATATTTAACATTTTTATTGGATTATAAAATAAAATAAGATACAAAATAGGAAACTAAATAGGAAAATGATGGGGAGGAAAAGGAGGAAGAGAAGTGAGGGGAGATAAGAAAAAAAGAAAAAGAATCATTGACTTCTGACTCTCTGTTGTGGTAAAATAAGGCATTTATTAACATCAAATCACAACTTTTTGTTTTTTCATAATAATATGAACAAGCCATTTCTATAAAGATCTATCAATCTAATTGGTAAAACCCCAAATCAAAGTTTCATTCTTTTCCACTTCAAGCACAAAGTTTAAAAGCAGTCTCCATGTGGAAATAAAAGTACTTATATTCTTTTCTTTAATCAAAATAGTCAATTTTGCCATTTCAGCCAACTCCATCAAATTCTGCAACCATTCGTCCATGTTAGGAATCAAAGTGTCCTTCCATTTTTGTGCATACAATAGTTTTGCTGCTGTCAACATATATAGTAACAAAGTTCCAAAGTTTTTTCTCCAGGTCTTTTTCCATTAGAGCCAAAATGAAAAATTCTGATTTCATCTTTATCTCAATTTTTAAAATTTTCTGTATTAAAATATGAATCATATTTTTTATGATATGCTTTAAAATATAAAGCAAATTTTTGTTGCTTTATCACATGTCCACGATAGATGATAAAAAGCCCCTTCTTTCATTTTGCACTTCCAACATTCATTTGACATACTTTTACACATCTTAGATAACTTATCTGGTGTTAAATACCAATGATACATCGTCTTATAGAATTTTAACTGATAAATTAACAGAGTTGGAAGGGACCTTGTAGGTCACCTAGTCCAACCCCCCACCCAAGCAGAGCACCATTTGTGACAAATGGCAGTCCAATCTCTTCTTCTCCCCTGGTCCTTCTCTTCACTAGACCAGCCATGCCCAGTTCCTGTAACCATTCTTCATATGTTTTAGTCTCCAGTCCCCTAATCATCTTGGTTACTCTTCTCTGCACTTTTGCTAGAGTCTCAACATCTTTTTTATAGTGTGGTGACAAAACTGGATGCAGTATTCTAGGTGTGATCTTACTAAGACTTTATACAGTGGTATTAGTATCTCACTTGATCCTGATTGTATCCCTGTTAATGCAATTTAGGATTGCATTGGCTTTTTTGGCTGCTGCAGCACACTGCTGGCTCATATTTAACTGGTTGTCTACTAAGACTCCAAGATCCCTCTCACAGTTACTGCTATTAAGCCTGGTTTTACCCAGTCTATATGTGTACTTTTGGTTTTTCTTGCCTAAGTGTAAGACTTTACTTTTCTTCTACATTGAATTTCATTTTGTTAGATAGGGCCCATCTGGATTTTGAGCCTATCATCTAGGGTGTTAGCTATTCCTGCCAGCTTAGTATCATTCGCAAATTTGGTAAATTCCTCTTCTATTCCTTAATCTAAATCGTTCATGAAGATATTGAAAAGTACTGGGCCTAGACGTAGACCCATTAAGGACTACTCATTGAGTACGGTTTGTCAGCCAGTTACAAATCCATCTGGTGATGATGCTATCTATCCCACTTTTTTCTAGTTTACCAAGAAGTAGGTTGTGCTCTACTTTGTTGAATGCCTTGCTGAAGTCTAAGTATATTATATCAACAGTATTTTGCTGGTCTAGTAATTTAGTCATTGTGTTGAAGAATGAAATAAGATTGGTTTGGCATGAGCTGTTTTTTACAAACCCATGCTGTCTGGTAGTTATTACTTTACTCATTTCTAGATGTTGGCAGATCTGTTTTTTATTATCATTTCCAGTATCTTCCCGGGTATTGATGTTAGGTTGATTGGTCTGTAGTTTCCTGGGTCTAGTTTTTTTCTCTCCTTTTTTTGAAGATGGGAACTATATCAGCTCTTTCCCAGTTCCCCGGTACTCCAGGATTTTTGAAATATGTGGTACAGTGGTTCTGAGATGATATCTGCCAGCTTCTTTGGAGCTCTGTGATATAATCCATCAGGCCCCGGTGATTTGTATTCATCAAGATCAGACGGGTGTTTTTTTACTTTGTGTGTATGTGTGTGCTTATTTTAGCTTTTATTTCTAGTCTGTCTTTTACAGTTATGTTTTTGGTAAGTTGGGCTATAGTTTCAGATCCAGATGGATCTTGACAGACTTGAACACTGGGCCCTATCTAACAAAATGAAATTCAATGTAGAGAAAAGTAAAATCTAACACTTAGGCAAGAAAAACCAGAAGTACACATATAGACTGGGTGAAACCAGGCTTAATAGCAGAAACTGTGAGAGGGATCTTGGAGTCTTAGTGGACAATCAGTTAAATATGAGCCAGCAGCAGCTGAAAAAGCCAATGTAACCAAGATAATTAGGGGACTGGAGACTAAAACACATGAAGAACAGTTACAGGAACTGGGCATGGCTAGTCTAGTGAAGAGAAGGACCAGGGGAGATATGATAGCAGTGTTCCAATATTTTAGGGACTGCCACAGAGAGGAAGGAATCAAACTATTTTGCAAGGCACCTAAGGCCAGACAAGGAATAATGGATGGAAACTAACCAAGGAGAGATTTAACCTAAAAATGAGGAGGAACTTTCTGACAGTGAGAACAATCAACTAATGGAACAGCTTGCCTTCGGAAGTTGTGGGAGCTTCATCAGTGGAGGCTTTCAAGAAGAGATTGAACTGCCATTTGTCAGAAATGGTGTAGGGTCTCCTACTTGGGTGGAGGTTGGATTAGATGACCTATGAGGTCCCTTCCAATTCTGTTAATCTAAAAGTTTTATCATACTATAAATAGCCATGGCATCCAAACCTTAATTCATGGCCCTCTAATTCAAGTAGCCTCTTATTCTGAAGGCTCACCCATTCTTTTGACCAGGTCAGACAGAATGCTTCAAAATAAAGTTTCATGTCTGGTAGACCTTAGCATCTTGCAGTAGCTTATATCTAATTCTTGGTTTTTTCCCCTTGCCATACAAACTTAGTAATATCCTTCTGCCATTGTTTAAATGGATTGTCAGTTGTAAGTATTGGTAACAGTGGTGGGTTTCTACCAGTTCACCCCAGTTTGGGGGAACCAGTAGTGGCGGCAGCAGGAAGCTCCGCCCACCAACCCGGACATCATCATGGATGCTCTGCACATCCACAGAAGTACCACACGCGAGCTCCTGGTTCCGAACCGGTAGCGAAGGTAAGAGGAACCCACTACTGATTGGTAACGTCTGAAATTAAAAAAAAAACATTTTTGGTAAAATATTCATCTTAATTGCAGAGATTCTACCCAATAATGATAAGTGCAATTTATCCCATCTTTGCAAGTCCTGTTTAATATCCCTCGAAAGAGCGATGTAATTGTGTTGAAACAGTTTTATATTTATATTTGTCGACATAACACCTAAGTATTTCACCTTTTTCTCAACCCCAAAACCTGACTTTTTGTTCAATATATCACTATCCTGAGAAGACATATTATTGATCAGCATTGTTTTCTCTTTATTCATCTTATTCCAAGAAATAAAACCTGCCCCAAACACATTCAATTTCCTCATCAAATATTCTATATTGTTTTTTGGGTCCTGTAAAAATACAGTCAGATCATCAGCAAATGCCCTCAATTTATAAACCTCTTTCTTAATATTTATATCCCTTATTTTATCATCTCGTCTGATACTTCTATTCAGAACTTCCAATACCAAAATGAACAACAGAGGGGATATGGAGCATCATTATCTTGTACCCTTTTGAATGTCCCCTGAGTTAGTTAGATCACCATTTATGATAATTTTTGCATTCTGTGACGTGTTAGATCACTTTAATTCCTTGGATAAAATTCTCTCCAAAGTCCATTTCTTCCAACACATAAAAACCCAATTTAGATTGTCAAAGACCTTCTCTGCATCTAAAAATATTAAGGCACCCTGTTTCTCATTATGATATTGCAAGTATTCAATAATTTTTAAGACAGTCCTCACATTATCTCTTAGCTGTCTTTTCGGCAGAAAGCCTGCTTGGTCTTCATATATATATGGCTGTAAAATCTTCTTTAATCTTTCTGCCAGAATGGCAGCAAATAGTTTGTAATCTTTGTTTAATAGTGAAATTGGTCTGTAATTCTTTGTCTTTATAATATCGTGACTCTACTTTGGGAGCAACATAATGTTGACTTCTTTCCATGTCTCTTGGATGTATTTCCCCCCTGTAGTATATCATTCATTGTATCCTTTAGCGGTTGAAGAAGTTTGTCCTCGAAGCACTTATAGTATTGGCTTGTGAGGCTATCTGGTCCTGGAACTTTGCCTGGCTTCATTTTTTTAATAGCTTCTGATATCTCAAAGGCAGTTATCTGGTCATTCATAAGTTGTCTCTGGCAGGGGTGAAATGTAAAATCTGTTACTACCAGTTCTGTGGGCATGGCTTGGTGGTGGTGGTGGTAATGTGACTGGGTGGGCATGGCCAACTTTTTTAAAAAAAAACTTTTCAAAGCATTTTTTCTAATGCTTTGAAAAGCCTCTCTGCTGATCAGGAACTCAGGTGGGATCATCAGAGACGCTTTTTAAAAAATGCCTTTCTGCCGATCAGAGAATTTAGCTGGGATTGTCAGAGAGGCTCTTTTAAAAATGCCTCTCTGCCGATCAGGGAACTCAGCTGGGATCGTCAGAAATGCCTCTCTGCCAATCAGGGAAATCAGCTGGGATCGTCAGAGACTTTTCAAAGCATTTTTTTATACCACCTCTTTGGCCAAGAGGTTGCAGAAAAAAATGCTTTGAAAAGCCTCTAATGATCCCAGCTGAGCCACGCGATCATCACAGGCTTTTTTTTTTTACTTTTAAAAGCACTTTTTCATCGGAAGAGGTTGTAGAAAAAATGCTTTTAAAAGTAAAAAAAAAAAAAAAAGCCTCTGATGGGGTGGGTGTGCAGGGATTTTTGCTACCGGTTCTCCGAACCACCCACTGCCATCGCTACCAGATCAGGCGATCTGGTCCGAACCGGGAGCATTTCACCCCTGGTCTCTGGGTTTGTGATAGTTTAGGCAATGGTTGTCTTAAAAGATATTCATCTATTTTTATCTTTTATACAAATTTGAATAGAAATTATGAAAGAACTTTTTAATAAATTCGTTATTATATGGGCAAAAACACTTGAATATTTCCTGAATTTTAAATTTTTGAATATAACAAATTATTTGCACTGTTTAAACATGAATAAAATTGTGTCTAAGTGTATCCATGGTTAGAGTAGATCAGTGGTGGGATTCAACTGGTGTATCAATCAGTTCGCTGAATGTACACTTTGTGTGCAGTGCATTTGAATTCAGCTCTAAAACGTACCTTCTACTGCAGCCCCAGTGAGTAAAACAGCTGAGGTGCAGCAATCCGATGATCAGCTGGGCTTCAAACAAAGGGAATAAAGGTAAGTAAAGCGCAGGGGTGGGTGGGCCCAGCTGATCATCAGAGTGAACCAGTGGGTGGGTGGGCCCAGCTGATCATCAGAGTGAACCAGTTCGCTCCCACCTGATTGTCAGAGCTACCGGTTCGCCCGAACTGGTCCGAACCGGTCGAAACCAGAGTAGATATGATGAAATTACTGACGTCAGGCTAACCCATCCTATTGACTTCAATTGATAGATCACCTCTGATTCTTGGACTGGTCTACACACATGCACTTTTAAATATTTTAAGAACTAAATTAACAAGTTTGAAATGTTAAGGATGTGTGAAATGCCAAATCAAGATTGATCTGGAAGCAATCTGATTCAGATCTTTCAACTTTAATTCCTCTGTAATTTCAATCTAGAAAGAGTTTCAGAATAATTATTTCTGTGTATGCACACAAGTCCATTGAATTAATTCAGAAATCTTATTTGATGAAATGTTATTGAAAGTGAATTTCAAATTGAATTTTCACACAGACCCAGTTATTTGGTTTGAAAAGGCAGAGGCCCATAAAGTCAATGGATTTTAATTGGCATTCTGAATACATTTTTATTTGTTTAGACCCAATGGAATATTGAAAAGAAATTATGTAAAGGAGGTTAGGACTCCATCATCAACATGATTCCCCTAAATCTGAATATAAACGAAATTTACTGGGAATTGAGAAAAATGGGCAGGATCTGTGGAAGCTGTGGAAAAAAAATAAAATCCCACCAAGAGCCAATTGGACAATGGCACGTAATGCTTCCAATATCATCAATCTTTTTTTTTCTGTTTTCCTCCTCCTCCTCCTCCTCCCCTTCCTCTTCCTCGAATTTTGAAGCTCAGGGTTGAAATGAGGGGTCCTTGGTTCTCTCTGAGTTTGGTAGCATAATCAATGCTAATGATGATGACTACCTCTGATGATGTTACCTTGTTTGGATAATCAAACATCTGCAAGAAAACAGCCATGCTTAGGAAGCACCAAGGACCCCTCATTTCAACCCTGAGCTTCAAAATTCGAGGAGGAAGAGGAGAGATGGCTATATAAGTATGCATATGATTAATTAACTAATTATCTGCCTCACTCTCCTGATCATGCGTCCCAGAGGAGACCTTTTATTAAAGCATTGAAAATTTTTTAGAAGTCATGCTCTGCGTATTTTGCCTTCCCTGTTAAGTTCCAACTTTACTTTCTTCTTACATGAGTTAGATGTATTTTGCAGATGGTAAATTAAGTGGAATAATGGCTATCCTGACATATATTATTAATATACTATTTGACAATAGCATCCTGATCAACCCACCTTCTGCAATTAAACTCCATTACAACACACTGGGCTTTTTCATTGCTGCCTCTGTCCAGGAACTGAAAAGGTAATCTTTTTTAATTATATCCATTCCACTGGGGGTGATATTGAAAAGTAGTTTATTAACACTGAACACGAAGAAATGAAATAAAACTATCTTGTCTGTTTTCTCAGCTTTTCTGTCTAATCCAAATTTTTTGTTCCACTTTTATTATCCAGAGCTTATTATTATTGTACACAATGCCACAGTGGGATCCCCAATCCTGAGCTCATTGTGAAATGTCATTGCAAAAGAAAAAGTGCGAAAAAACCAATCCCAGATTCTGGTAATTTAATTTTCATTTCAAAAGCTTTAATGTATTGACAGACAATTGCTGGTGTCATACGACATAAGTCTTCTGCATTTCTTTTTTCCATTCCCATGTCATGTTATGAAAAAGAAATCATTTCTGATTTTTTAAAGAAGAAAATGTGGGTGAAATTCTCATGGATGAGGCATTTACTTAGTTATAAAATATCATCATTCATCATTAGGTCCTGTGCAGAGCATATTGGGTAGCAAGTGTTTTCCAGCTACAAAATAGGTGATTGGCTCAACTGTGAGAGAGATTTTGGAGTCCTAGTGGACAATGACTTAAATAAGAGTCAGCAGTATGCTGCAGCCACCAAGAAAGCTAATGGAATCCTAGGCTGTATTATCAGAGGAGTAGAATCAAGTTTTAGTAGCAATTTATAAGGCCTTGGTAAGACCACACTTGGAATACTGCATCCAGTTTTGGTCACCACAATATAAAAATATGTTGAGACTCTGGAAAGAGTGCAGAGAAAAGCAACAAAAATGATTAGAGAGTTGGAGGCTAAAATGTATGCTAGTAAAAAGAAGAGCTATGGGTGACATGTTTACAGTGTTCCAATATTTAAAGGACTGCCACAAAGAAAAGGGTGGTCAACTTATTTTCCAAAGCACCAGAAGGCAAGACAAGAAGCAATGGATGGAAACCAACCAAGACAGAAGCAACCTAGAAATTTCCTGACAGTAAATACAATCAACCAGTGAAACAGTTTGCCTTCAAAAGTTTTGGGTGCTCCATCATTGGAGGCTTTTAAGAATACTGGGCAGCCAATTTTCTGAAATGGTAAAGGATCTCCTGCTTGACATAGAAGACCTCCAAGGTCCCTTCCAACTCTGATGACATGTTCTAAATGCCACCCTACCCTTTGTCCATTCATATCTTCAATTGTTTGCATTCACCCTGATTTTTAATGCTTCAACTGAACCCAAGAGAACATCATGAGGAATCCTAAACTCCCTTAGGATTTGTTTTGGATCAGAAGCTACAGTCAACCAGGATCCTATTAAGTAACGGAGACATGTAATTCTAAACAAAGAATATTAACATCATCTGTCCCATCACAACAATAAAGGAAATTCAAGAAGTCTAGAAAACTCAACAGTCTAGAATAATAAACTATTCTAAAGCATCCTGAGAATGAGAGGAGGAAAAGAACTTTGTGGATGAAAAATAAATATTTGTTAATTTAGATAGATATACACAGTACTAGCCTTCATGCTGAGCTAGTCTGGTGTAGTGGGTGAGGCACCAGACTAGATGGTATGTTCTAGTCCCATCTTGGGTTTGAAGCCATGTGGGTTATCTTGAGCTAGTCACCCACTCTCAGCCTTAGGAAGGAGGCAACGGAAAGTCACTTCTGAAATCTTGGCAAAAAAAATTGCAGGGACTAGCCCAGTAGTCACCAGGAATCAACACTGTTTTGAAAGAGAGAGAAAGAAAGAAAGAGAGAGAGAGAGAGAGAGAGAGAGAGAGAGGGAGGGAGAGAGAGAGAGAGAGAGGGAGGGAGAGAAAGAAGGAAAGAAGGGAGGGAGAGAGGGAAGGAAGGAAGGAAGGAAGGAAGGAAGGAAGGAAGGAAGGAAGGAAGGAGGAGGTGGTGGAGGTGGAGGCAGAGGCAGAGGAGGAGGAAAGAAAAGAAAAGAAAATCTTCATGAAAAATGGGGCAGATTATTTAGATACTTTCTGACCATCATCTTTCAAGACAATATTCATCATTGAGAGGGCAAATTCTAAGAATAACTCTAATCAAACATGGAAAAAATAATTTCCCATGTTTTCCAATAAAAATCAATGATGTGCACAGACATTTTTCTATTGCAAATTTTTTGTTAGATTGCAAAAGACCATATACAAAAGCACAGAAAATATTCTTGCTAAGTAGTAAAACACCCACTGATAATTATGTATTGCATTTTGAAGGGGATTCTAACTCATTCAGGTCTACATCACAGCTACGTAATGACTTCTATTTATTCTGCCCAGTAAATGTTGGACTATAGTCCTGAAGTCAAGGACTGCTTTAGTCACTGTTAGTCAAGCATGCAGTTGCTGACTGATTAATGTTCTGCAACAGGCTGCTAATGTCAGAAAGACTCAGCAATCATACACCTATAAGATATTGAGAGAAGTCTCCTGATATTTCATGACAATTTCTTTCTTGGTGATTCTGAAGGGAAGGGAAGGGAAGGGAAGGGAAGGGAAGGAAAGGAAAGGAAAGGAAAGGAAAGGAAAGGAAAGGAAAGGAAAGGAAAGGAAAGAAAGGAAAGGAAAGGAAAGGAAAGGAAAGGAAAGGAAAGGAAAGGATCTTCTTCCTATCACTCAGCCCTAGGTGGAAATGACATTATTGAAGTTCTTCAGCTGGCTAGTTGTGTCTTACATTCTCAGACACACAAGCTCAATCTGAGTTGCTCTTTCAGGAATAGTTGTTTTCCATGCAGTTTGGAGCTCTAAACAAGTCCAATTTTCCCTGCAAAGTAAATACTATCTAAGTATCCTTTATCCTATTTCTTTTTATGAATAATCTTTTCATCTCTTAACTGAACAGCAGATGGCAGGCAAGTCTTACTGGTGACTTAGCTTCTTCATTTCCTTTGCAAATCGCATAGAATTGCAATAAGAAAAACTGAGGTCTGGAAACATATACACTCAGCGGTGGGTTTCACATTTTGTTACTACCAGCTCACCACACACGCACACCTTCCCTGCATGTGTCCAGCCTCAAAACCGTGCCTAAATAGGATGGCACAGAGCCAGGGCAGGTGGGCAGGTGGGTGTGGGCAGCACCCACAATCTTCACTACCAGTTCACCTGAACCAGTACCAACCAGCTGAATACCACCTACATATGCACTGTAGGCTTTTCTTTAAATTCTATGATCAATATAACTACAGCAATACTCTTCAGAAAAACAAGGCAATTTCTTTAGCATTCACCAGGAGAAGTTTGTAATCAGTGCTGTTTACTTTCTATTTCTTTCTGCCATGAGAAAAGCAACAGAGAAACCAGGCAGTGACAGCCATTGATCACTAGCACCAATGTCCACTGACTTGTCAACTTGCAAAGCAAAGATTATTGTTTATTTTTCTTGGTCACCTTCCATTCTCCACCTGATATTTTTAAATCTATTTACTCTGGGGTGTAGTAATCCCAATCCTTCAGGAGGCCAGCTACTTCCAACTGCAACTTCAGTTGTCTTTCCTTGGAATCCCTAATTAGTAAAGCTGGATGTCTTTACATAACAGTTAAGTACTACGTAGATATTAATAATTAGGGAGGAGGGGGAGGAAAACATTTTCAAAGGCTTCTTGACATTGTCTGTATTGATAAATATTATAAACTTGGGTAAACTAGTAGATTGGCAACTTAGCATTACTTAAAGAATTTCTTCATGTACTTGCTCTGAGTACATGGCAAGGATAGCTTCAGCAGAACATAGGCTGTTGACCTGAAGGAAAGAAGAAATCCCCTCTTAATAATTTTCATTTCAGAAAAGGCATCAAGCAGTAATTTGAGACGTTCAGATGAAGGTATAGTACATTCACGATCCCTTGGGATTCTCTCCTTCTTGGATTTTTTCCCCAGGTAAGAGAGTTAAACAGAGTTCTCCTTATATTATAAATCCATTTTTTGAGCTAGATTTCCAGATAATTTGGGAATAAAACAATAGAAATAGGTTTTTGCTTCTTTTTATATCTTAGAAGTTGTTCAGGTTTTTGCTTCTTTTTATATCTTAGAAGTTGTTCAGGTACTTATCTTTGATGGCCAGTTTTTCACTAGTAATGGAAGTTAATTTGAAAATAATGTCATACCATGTTTCAAAGAGCATCCAAATCAAATTGTATTCAAACCTAACTAATAAGGAGTTTTTCACCCCCTTCTAGCCAGGTCCTCCATGTTCAGTGGTTTATTTAGTGGGAGTAACTATCTTAAAACACAAATTTCTATGCATAATAGCGCTATGGCTTAAGATTTAGAACAACTGCAAACACCAAGGGACTCATTCATCTTCTGCCATAGTTGTACCTTTGTCTAGTAATTGTGTGTAAGATATCTACACATACAGCCAGAAGAAAGAAAAAATTAGAAGCATACCATATTTGTGCAGTTTGGAGCCATAATGAATATTTTTATGCTGTTGTAGGCTTCAAAGAATAAAGCAGTTATTTAAAATGAGCAAGGTTGGCTCTCCTCCTCCTCCTCCTCCTCTTCTCCTTCTCTTCCTCTCCTTTCCCCTTCCTCCCCCTCCTCCTTTATAAGCTTCTTTCAGTATTTACACTACAGTTTTCATATGTTCCTAACTCAAAATCGTGGGAAACTGGTGCCAATTTTCAACAATTAAATTGCTAACATTCAACTGTAATGACCAAGGAGTGATATGGGAACCACACAAATGGATAGGGGACTATTGTTTCCTCACTCTTGTTTTAGCATTGTTAGAAATCCCCCTCTCTCAGCTGCTGTTTGACCAAGGGGAAAAATATGCAGGTTGTCCATAGCCATTTGTTGACAACCATTTTTGTCTGGGGGACACATTAGATTAGAAATTTACCCTAAAGGGCATGAATAAAATTATCCATACTATTACATTATGCCGATTTGACCAAAAAGGGAATCATTAAGTTTATAACAACCCTCCCATTTCTGCCCATAACATAATCTGAAGCAAAAAGGAAGGAGGGGAAACCCCTTTCTCAACCTGCTGAAATATCATTATTAAAATGTGCATGAAAAGTCAATTATGCCAGAGGGAGGTATTTAAGAGAAGCAAGTTTCCATACTGTTGGATTACACCTCAGGGATTACAAAGTCTGCTGAATTCTTTGCAGCTGTTTAACTTAAAAGTGGAGCAGACTTGCATAGTCAGATGTTCTATAGCCCTCACAAGAAGAGAACAGATATGGTGGGAAAACATTGCTCCTTTGACCATTGGAAGCTAACCCTGCCATCAGATGAGGCAGCTCTACAGCAAAGGAGATGACTCCAAGACATGGAATTGTCCCATCATGGTTACTAGACATGACATTAATGATTTGACACTTTGTAGAATTTTAAACCATTTACATAAATGTTGGTGGTTCTATACTAATTTGTAGAAGATTAGATAGATAGATAGATAGATAGATAGATAGATAGATAGATAGATAGATAGATAGATAGATGCTAAACAGACAGACAGATGCGGAGAATGGAGCTGGAATGCAGGTTAGTGAAGGCATTGTGACTGCTCTGGGGTGAGGTGGGGGTACAATGCAAAATCCTAACCTCAACCCCACCCCAGAGCAATCACAATGCCAAATCCTAACCATAAGCTCTGGTGCTTATTTTGGCAAACAAAAAACCCCTAAGACTGGGTCTTATTTTTAGGGAAACATGGTAGGTAGGTAGGTAGGTAGGTAGGTAGGTATAGATAGATAGATAGATAGATAGATAGATAGATAGATAGATAGATAGATAGATAGATGACTCTATCTCTGAGTGGTGGGATTCAGCCAGTGTGCACCAGTTCAGCAAATCGGTTGTAAATTATACACACACACCGATATCAAAGTGGATCCTGGGTGCTGTGCTGCACTGCCATGGAGAAATGGACAATGGAGTGGCCGATGCGAGGGAAGGAGAAGGCCGCTTTCCCTCTTTCTTCTCCCTGTTCTTCTTCCTTCCTTCTCTCATGCCAGCCGCTCCATTTCCTGTTTCTCCATTGCAGCGCAGCACCCAGGGTCCACTTTGATAGTGTGTTTGGGGAGGGGGGAGTAATATAGCAACCAATTTGTCCAGGGTCAGGTTGGCTGTCATGGGAGGCTTGTGTGTGGTAGAGCTGGAGAATGGGGATTGGCCATGCCTCCCAAGACAGCCAACCTGATCCTGGGTGGACTGGTTGTTAAATTATTTGAATCCCACCACTGGATGGATGGATGGATGGATGGATGGATGGATGGATGGATGGATGGATAGATAGATAGATAGATAGATAGATAGATAGATAGATAGATAGACAGACAGACAGACAGACAGACAGATAGATAATTCAGCATGCAGTTGGACTTTCTTACACCGAAGCTGCAGTTTTACATATTTATCTGAAAATTGTTGAATGCAGCAGAATATCTCAGTAAATAACCATAGGATTCATCGTCTCCTGCACTCTCTTCCTTTTTTTCTCTTTGGTCGCTCTTTTCTTCCTAAAGTTCACTCTTTTCTGAATCAGCAGTTCCTGGGGTTTTCTTTTTTGTGGGTTTCTGCACCACATAAGTTTTTGAAGAGCATCATTTTAATTCAGCATCTGCCTGCCCAGTGCCTGGAGGTACTATCACTATCACATATTTGTGCCTGTTTGTCTAGCAGATACCAACATTATTACTTTTAATTAAAATGCTCAAAAACTCAAATATTTTATAAGATTTTTGTGCCCCTGCCAAACTATGGGAAAAAGTGTAGAATGTTTTTCTCTCTCCCTCTCCCTCTTTCTGTTTCTCTCTGTTTCTCTCTCTTTCTGGAATAGTTTGTTCCACAAGTCAAAGCAGGATGGTTCTTTTATAACCAAAAGAACCATAACTCTTGTTTTGTTTTATAAGGATGGCCACTTTATTTCTAAATTTAGTTAATCTCCTTTTGGTGACGCCATTAAGCTTTCCAGATTTTTTTGGGTTGTGTTTCACCTTAGACAGCAGGATTTTCATTTGATACACAAGAACATAAAATGGTTGCAGAAATACATATTTTCTTTTTCTCTCTCGAGTTAAAAAGCTTCCAACCCAATTTCTGCCAATATAAAATAAGATTAAAACAACCTAGATGAAAGAGAAAATGGATTCTTGGTTGTTTCTAAAGAGAACCTCCACCCAAATTTGTATTCCTTCTTAATTGAAATTTATCTAACATCTGGATAATTATTCCTAAGTACCTGTTGATTGTCAAGGTGTGTCAGTCTTTCATAAATCCCCAGTTCTTAAGATTTTATTCTTTGATGCTATCCATCACATCCAGGCCCAAGGGCAAGTGGGGCATGGGATGAGTTTGGATAGGAGTGAGACTAGAACTAAGCACTTTGCCTTCCCTTAATCCGGCAGAATGCAATGCATTCTTTATGAATGTGAAGGGGAGGCTGTGCCGAAGTCTACAGAAAGGTCACTGATATTTTTGGAGTGATAAATCACAAAGGAGAAGGAAGATTTGCATTTTGGCCATATAACATTCAGGGATGGATTAGAGAGAGCAGGGGAAGAATTCTTTGAAGTAATATTTCTTCGCTGACTTGTTTTATTAGCTCACTTTTAACATGTTACATTATTGCTTATAGAATTTCATTTACTTGGATTGGCAGCTTGATAAATATGTCTATTGGCAATGATTTGGATTGCTCTGGGCATTAATATTATTAAAACCTGTCACAGGGAAATGTCTGAAAGATGACTTACTGTAAAGATTACAGCACAAAATAAATCACACAGTGGTATTTGTTACCGTTTATGGCCTCTTGGAGCCGAGTCAATCCCTTTTTATGTTGCATTATTTTTCAAGTTTTTATAGCTTTACATTATATATTGCTGTCAGAAATGAACAGATGGGGTGTCAAACATGAGCTTTTTGAATAATTCCCACCCTTGGGTTATTTGTGTGAAGGACAAGTGTAAAACTCTGTTCTCCAGAAAGGAAAGGGAACTAACAGACAGGGTTAGCTAATGTGTTGTGACATTACAGAAAGCCTATACACACATGCGCGCACACACGCGCACACACACACACACACACACACACAGAGACACTTTTTTTTATCAGCTTACACAAGATGGCTTTAGCGTCTGACCACCTCTGGCTTTTATCTCACAATGGGACCTGAGAAAATTCTAGTTGCCTATATTCTTGTGATGGTGGACCCATGCAAGATAAATAGACTAGAAGAGAGACATCAGATGGAATGTCAGAGAGTTTCTTTGTGGACTGTCTCTCCCCAGATGGAGAGACAGGAAAATGTGTCTTCCATATCATGAAGATCTTTCAGGGACTATTCCAGATGAGTGAAGACAGGATTGGTTTCTCTCATGAATGCAATCATAGGTGTCTTTTCTTCAATCATTTGTGAATTTGGGGCTGCTTTGTTGAGAAACGGGTCTGGGAGGGAAAGGAAATGACTTCAATTTAGTAAGCAAAAGAGCAAATTAAGTAACGCTCACAAATCTTATTACTTGAACTGTACCTTGAAGCATGTGAAATTGACATATGAAGGAGATTCGTCAATCAGTGCTGCATGATGTTTACAGGATGTGGTGATGTATAATTGATTCAGTGCCAATTGATTTTCCCACCCACCCACCCTGCCCAGAATGGGACTATAGAAGCCATTTTCACTTTGATTCTTTTTAGACTATGGAATCATTTTCTATCTTTTAAAATGTAGCATCTTGGAAAGTCTTTGCATTTCTTTTTGATTTATATCTTGAAGCAGGATGGGCAAACCAAAACTCACATAAGACCTCCAAACTGTCTGTCTGTCTGCCATTTATCTACCATCTACCATCTACCATCTACCATCCGTCTGTCTGTCTGTCTGTCTGTCTGTCTGTCTGTCTGTCTGTCTGTCTATC